TTGTTTGTGAAAAAATAATTTCTCTCATTAAGTACAATAGTGTTCTATCTTGTCAAAGATTTTCATGTTTGTGTGCTTATTTGTTGTCTGTAGGCTCTAATGTTCATATAAATGGAGTATTTATTTATATTTGAGTTCCAAAAGGTATAAGTGATTGCTATTCAAGCGATAAAAAACATCTAAATTTATGCTTATAGTTGTTACATTTATACATAACAATGAAGAGTAGTAAATCGTGTTCGTATTTAACTACTTTGTCTTGTTTGGTGCATAGTCATTTATCTCACATTCTCACTAAACGTATTTTGTTTTGATATAATATATACGTACACAAGATAAAAATCGAGTCCATCAATAATTATTAGGTCAACCAAGCCTTAAATGTCAAGTAATTAATTTCATACTTGCTTTCTAAATATATAAAAAAACAATCATATGCCTCTCCCCAATATTATCTCAATGAAAATTAAAAGAGAAAAAATATAGTAATTTAAAACATACATATATATGAATGAATACGAATTTCTCATTAAATGTCCTTAGAATATTTACATATGGTGCAAGAAGATGATATGTTTCTATAAACATAGTATGGTCGTGGCACAATTGAAGCTCACTAAGATTTACAAAACCATTACTCATCCACCCGCCATTTATTTACTTATACATGTCCTTATTCTACTCGGACTTCGAAGCTTGATCAAATTAAATGCTTAGTAATTCAATACACTTAAAGGTTATATCAGTTGAGAAAATTGAAAAAATCAACACGTATCGTTTGGTACACATTCTAGCAAGAATATTTTAAGCATATAAAAAGATTAAACATATGTATATGTAATTTATTTTGGGAAGTTGCACACTAATTAAGAATAATTTTTTTGCCGATAATAACCCTCATTAATGAAGATAGTGATGAATGTTTTAAAAAAAAGATGAAAAGAATATGAAAATACGTAGTGTGTTTATTATTAAATGATCAGGGTAATGATGGAAAAATATATACAGAATATCCAAAACGACATTTATTTTGGTTAATAATTGATAAAGCCAAAATGACATTTAAAAATAATAGGAGGTAGTATATTCTACCAGAAAAATGTACATATGCTACATGGCAAAATGCTTAACAGATCCCATGATTTAGAAATTTGAGATTTTATGTGGATTAGAGCAAATTTAGTATCAACACTCTTGGGGTTTGGCCTTCCTCCATTGAGCCAAGTGAGACCATAAAAACAAAATGTATAAAAAATTAAAAACATCCATTTTTGACAAAATTTAAATTTGAGTATAAGCTCAAGGTGATTAATTTATGGTAATCATAAAATTATAATTTTAAGATGGTTATAAAATCTATAAAACATGTATGTTAGCAAGTTGGTTTCTTAATTTCAAATGTTTGAGACATGAGAAATAAGTCAATGAGCATCAAGCCCAAGAGGGTAATTAATTTTTATTTTATTTCTCTTTTTGTGACACTTAATTAAATAGTAGTACAATAAACTCAGTCCTTAATCATCAATTACTTTATTGTCATTAAGCCACTGATGCCCTTGGATTAAGTGAAAATACAGCTTGTTATGTTCTGACTTGTCCTTCTCATGTGAAGTAAATATACTGTGTGTTGTGTGTGAGCTAGCTGGTAATTAATTAATTTTTCTTAGGTAACTTATTTCAACTTGGCTAAATTGATTGTGTTTGAGAAACTTAACCAACTCTCTCTTAGCTGATTAGCTTGAAAAATTAGAGCATAATCATCTTTGTTATCTACAAATTATATTTGTTCAAACTTAGAAAATGTTTTAATCAACTGTATGAGTTGAGTTGTTAAACAAACTAAAAGGTTTTCGAACATAGCTTAGTTCTATTCATGAAAGCTCATGTTCGGCTCGTGTGTTACTTAAACAAGTCGAGCTCCAACAATTAATCGACCCATTTATTAAATGATTGGAGCCAAATTTGTTCGCAAACTCATTTTTTTATGGGTAATTTAATTGAAATAATCAAGCCAAACTTATCTGCGGGCAAACATTTCATGTTCGTGAATAGCTCGTTTAGAACTTTAGGTTAATTAAACGAGCCGACTCGTTTATTAAAAGGCACAAGCTCGAATATAAACTATTTGACTCAATTCTGTTGGTTTTAATGCTCGTTTAGAACTTTAAGTTAATTAAACGAACCACTCAAATATAAACTATTTGAGTCAATTCGGTTGGTTTTAACACCCTTCATACAAGTATCACAATTCACAAGAAATAAAAAGCGAAATATGTGAGAATGTAGTAAAAGTCATATAAGAATTCTTGTTCTTGTTTTTAGAAAGGAGCAAAAATACGCAACACCAAGACTCGAAATTGATTTATTTATTTTAAATTCCCGAAAAAGGAACGAAGGAAAACATAATTATAACGGAAAACGGTAACCCATAAACGCGATTCTAATTAATCCCAATGCTTCTCTAATTAGAGTTTACAAAAAATTTAAACTTCAATTAATAAAAATAAAATAAAAAAATGAAAAATGAAACAAACGAGATCTGTTATGAAAAGAAGGGCCACCCATTACGAAGCTTTATTATGGCACTTTGGTATTAGTGTTGGAAAAAACCTTAATTAATTGGCATTAGTGTTGAAAGCTAAATACTACTAATTTACTGCCATGAGCTCGCGTTTTCATGGTGAAAACAAAATCCAACAAAGACCAATCAATAACTGAGGAACCACGCTTCTTAAAACCCGCTTTTAAAAAAATGCTTATTCAAATTATTTTCGAACATAAACGTATCACAATTAGGCGTCGAGTTAAAGCAAGAGATGTTGGTCTCTCAATATAGCGCTGTCCCTTTTTCTATGTAAATTCTCATATGAGACAACTTAATTATTAGGCGAATGGTTTCATCATATTTATTTTCAACAAAAATACCTACGTTAATAAATTAATAAATGACATACTTTCCTATGTGTTGTTTTTTAGAATATAGTAACATTTATGTTTATGTACAATATATTTATTTGTTAAAAAGTATAACAGTCTAGTCGTTAGACCGACCTAATATAACAGTCTTACCGTTTATGTATTATCTAAAAAATATTTAATATTAGGAGATAAGCTTATTTTTATTGTTATATCGTTAAACAGAGTTTTGGGATTTATTAGATATTTTTAAAATTTTGTAACTGAGATTGAGAAGAATATATTCTTATACTGAGTTTCTGATAATGTGTAGGAGAATTCAAATGGAGGCAAAAGACGGTGCAAAGTTCAACTGCAACGAGAAAGAAGTAAAAAAAAGGAGAATGGGAAAAAGAAGACTAGACCTTTAACTGTAAATATCTTTAGCTAGGTACAACACATGAGGCAAAAAAAACAAAAAAATACTATTAATAAGGCTTCATGTATCTTTTAGTAAATTAATACTAAATGAAACAAGATTGTACTCTAGCTTGCCAAGTTAAATATTTTTTTGAGTTATAGAATTAACTTCATAATCTTTGTGAAGAAGACCAATAGATATGGTTAACAAGTATATTGATCTGTTTGGCATGGCTTATATTAGCAATGTAAATGAATTTGTCTTATTAATTCGTTTCTAATATTTTTAACATAATAAAATTATTTTTAATCTGCTCAAA